GCCTGGAGATGAACTACAGCTGAACCTTTATGAGAGTGAAAGCAAGGGAGAGGATGGGAAGTGAAACTTATCAGCCCAGGTGGAAATTGTAGTGCCTAGCTCAGGAGCACGGTGAAGCCCTTGGTAGACTCCGGCTGCACCAGATGCTTGGTCAGCTTGCAGCCAGTATGCAACCTGGGGTAGTGGGTGTGGAAGCTCTGCCAGCCTTTGAAGTTCGAGCAAGTCGATGGCATGTAGGGGGATTGCTTGCCTCCTATCTAACTGAGTTGGTAATCCTGAAGTTAGATGACCATGAAGAAACCATTCAATTCGTGGTGGCACCGAAGATGGCTGAGGCCATAATATTGGGGCTAGCCTGGCTAGCAAAGTGGCACCATACTTTGCATTGGGGAGGTACAAGAGAGGTGTAGTGATGGCAAAGGTTAGTCCCACTCCCTTGGGAGAATAGCACCACAAAGCTAAATGTCAAGAAGAGGTAACAAAAGATGCCTGAGAACACAAAAGGGGCATCAGAATGAACATAAGAGAGTCCAGTCATTCCCAAAGAATACTAGGACTTAGTGGAGGTGTTCAGTAAAAAGGAATGCAATGCCTCCCCCCCATCATCCTATGGACTGCACAACTGAGATCTTGCCTAGAGTGAAACTCCCCAAGCCAAAAATGTATTTGATGACTCCAAAAGAGATGGATGAGCTAAGAGACTATATTGACAAGAACCTAGCTAGGGGGTTCATCCAGGTCGCTAAATCCAGAGTAGCTGCTCCAATGCTGTTTAAAGAAAAGAAAGATGGCTCACTGAGATTGTGCATTGATTTCTGTGGGATAAATGGCATATGTGTGGAAAATATGCATCCCCTCCTCCTCATTAAAGACATGCTGGGCCATCTAGCAAAGGGAAAGGTGTTTACTAAGTTGGACTTGAGGGAGGCATATTACTAGCAAGGATCAAGAAAGGTGATGAGTGGAAGACAACCTTTAACTGTCCACTAGGTTGCTACCAGTTTAAAGTGATGCCCATGCTATGTTTATGCAGCTGAAGACCTATAAAAAGGGATCCTAGTGTATTTAGAAGACATCCTTATCTATTCTGAGATGATGGAAAAGCACATGAAGTTAGTGCAGCAGGTGTTGAAAAAACCCTGGACTAAGCTATACACCAAGTTGTCAAAATGCTAATTTCATAAGACCAACTTGGACTATCTATGGTGCTATAGGGTGTCTTGTGAATGGAGATGGACCTGTGAAAAGTGAAGTCCATTTTGGAATGGCAAGCTCCCTAGACCTGCAAACAGTTGCAAAGTTTTCTAGGGTTTGCAAATTTCTACCAGTAGTTTATCCCATACTTGGCAAAATTGCTTGCCAATCATGGAGTTTTAAAAATGGGTCCAGGGGGAGGGAAACCCCAACCCAGCTAGCCATTGAATTGGACAATGGAATGTCAAACAGCATTTGAAAAGCTTAAAAGACTGTTTGCGGTGAAGCTTGTCCTAAAGCCCCCTAACTCCAAGGAGCTGTTCATGATTCAAGAATATGCCAGTGATGTCATTGTAGTGGTGGGATGCTGCTTCAAAAGAACAGAGAGGGACATCTGCAGCTATGCATTTACACTTCCTGAAGCTAAACGAAACTGAGAGACAATGCACAGTATGGTAAAAAGAAGCCTTTGCCATACGATGGGCACTACTGACATGGAAATAATTCCTAGAGGCAAGTAAAATCCCCTTTGAAGTCTGGACTGATCACAAAAATCTAGAGGCATTGAGGACTTCCTGAAAACTCTCCCCTAAGCAAGTTCGGTGGGCTCAATTCAATAGGTTTGACTTAAAATAGGTTTGTTTTAAAATACATCCAGGAGGGGGTGGAATTTCCTAGCTGATGCACTGTCCCACCTGTCCCAAAGTACCTGAGAAGAAATAGTGAACTCTATTATCCTCATGTGGCAGTTGGCAGTGCAAGTGACCACCTAGTGACATTTTCACGCAACAGATGAAGCAAGAACTGCAAACTAATGCATGGTTCAGAACCCACTAAGGAGAGCTAACACTGAGGGAAGAGCTGGCCTGTAAGGGGAGCAAACTATATGTCCCTGACAGCCCACAACTACAAGTTCTACAGAGAAGCCACGATGCTAAGCAAGCTGGCCACTTTGGATTCTTAAAAACTTTGCATTTGACTAAATGGCAATTCTGGGGCCCAGGATGAAGAAGGACATAGAAAGTTATGTGAAAAGCTGTGCTGTGTGTATGGCCATGAAGTGCAGACCAGGAAGAGTCCGGGATTACTGCAGCAAGTGGCAGACCTGACTCAGCTTTGGGAAGAGATAGCCATTAACTTTATAATCGAGCTTCCAGAGAGTGGAGGAAATAAGTGATATGGACAGTGAAGGATGTATTTTCAAAGCAGGCCCAGTTCATAGTATGCTGCAGTCTCCCATCAGCCCAGAGACTGACTAGGATGTTCCTGCAAAATATTTAACAGCTGCACAGAGTGCTTAAATGCATAATTTCAGACTGATGGGTCCAATTTACTGCCAAATTTTGGCATGAATTTGTAAAGCTGATAAGGTCCTCCCAAGCTCCTAGTTCAGCTTTTCATCCAAGTACAAAGGGGGCTGCAGAATGAGCCAATGCAATGATGAACAATATCTGTGCTGTTATGTCAACTATCAACAATCTAATTGGGCAGAACTCCTGCCAATTGCTGAAGTGGCATACAACAATGTGGTGCATAGTAGCACAGGGCTTACCCCCTTTAAGATAACTATAGGAGTGGAGTTTGTGCTGATACCAGAATGCCCAAGAGAAACTCCCTCATCAGTGACATTGATTGGGAAGACTCCCTAAAAGTCACATGGGGAAATGTGAGGAAAGCATTACCAAAGCAACAGAGAATCAAAAGAAACAAGCAGATAAGAGGTGAGCTCTCCAGGGAATGTTCCATGTAGGAAATAAAATGTACCTATCCACCAAGTACCTAAAGTTGAGGATTCTCTGTAAAAAACTAGGTCTAAGTATATAGGGCCTTTCCCGATCATGAAAGTTATTAACCAGTGACTATAGAACTGAAACTGCCCAGAATACTGGGTAAAGTGCACCCAGTATTTCACTGCAGCCTGCTGAGGCCAGCTCAGGAATCTAAACTGAGACCAATTGGAAAAGAAGCACCTGGTCCAATAATGGTGGTGGTGGTGGGGCAGGGGAAAGACATTACATGGTTAAGTGAATCTTAGACTCTAGAATCTATAAGGGGAAACTACAGTATCTAGTACAGTGGAGAGGTTATCCAATAGAGGAGGCGAGTTGGATCAAATCTCATAAAATTAGAACATTCATACTTCCATTCAAAGTATCCCCAAAAGCCAGGGGCTTCTTAAGTGAGAAATTGAGAAAAAAGAAATGCTTTAATATGTGTTTGCTAAAATGAAACTTTGATTTTGGGTTTTACTATAAGATTGATTTGTTGTTACAGAAATGGCTACTTTATACTATTATGAAAAAGTAAAAGTTGAGGTTCAGTGTTAATGCTTTATTCTACTGCAACAGAGGATGCTGGAAGTTAATGCCTTTTTTTCTTTTTCTTTTTCCCTTCTTTCCCTCACTTTTCTTTTCCTTTTCCCTCCACTTTGTGTCCTACTATTTGCTTTGAATTTTGTATTTTACTCTATAATTTAATAAAATGTAATTAATATATATATTAATATGTGTTTGCTGATTTCCAGGGTCCTTCCAATTTTTAGGAGGGTCTGCCTGTCAAGTTTCAAAGCATGGATATTTTTTCTACTGCAACAGTTATCATTCTCAGCTTGCCAATACAGACTTCAAAGATTAAGGAAGCAGACTATGGGAACCAAGGACATTTACCAGGTTTCTGGACAGACCCAGAGATACATTCTCATAATATTTCTGTATTTAATTGGCCATCGTGACTTGATCCAGAGGGAGGAGAGAAAATTCTATTCTTTCACTATGTAGGGCTCGGGTGGGGTTTTGTCAGAGCTGGTTTTGTTTTCATACGTGTACAGTTTTACATAAAGAGATTGGAATGTCTCAAAGGTGCTTGCTTGGTTTGTTCATCATTGGAACCTTGACAGTATTTTTATTCTGCTATGACAGTTCTGCCCTAACATTTTTGTCCCCATAGTTAAGTACACATTCAAAGGCAATGCCTTTATAATCATGCTTAAGAATAAAGCCACATATAAGTGTTTACTAACATTTTAGATGGCAGATTTCAATGCTCACTCACAGTTGCAGGCAACAGCTAGACTACTCATCCAGCAAAATCAATGTTTTATAAATTCAGTATCAACTAGGATTGCAAACACAACTGTTCCTGCTCATGGTAACATCGTGAAATTGGTCAAATCTTCTGTCTGATGTGTTTGTTCTATATTGATGGATTTAAGCAAGAGATACACCATATGATTCCTGCAATAGTGTACTTCAATGGACTTATTTATTTTATTTATCAAATTTATATAATCACCCATCTAACACATGTGGCTCTAGGAATCTCAATTCTTACAAAGGACTGCAAGTATCACTTTGGATAATAGTTATTTCTACAACTCTATTAACTCGGTTAATATTGGTGAAGCAGCATCTCTTAGTTTTAGGTGATATATAGCTTTCCTTGACAGACTCATGATGCATTTTCTATAAATTTAAAAATAGTTATAAGAATTTGCTTAATACTGTAGATGACAGACACAGAATTAAGATTTCCAAAAATAAATTCTTTCTGAAAAATTTGCAACATGCTGCTGATATAAGATTCTGCTGCTAATGATGATGAAAAATGAGTCCTCTGTATCCTTTTTTATTTATCTTATAAATGATGGCTTAGATAAAAATGACTTCAGGTAATTGTTTGGTAATACTGTTTAAAATGATGGAAATTTTATTTAATTCTTTGATGGAATTTATTATTTGTTGAACTGCAAAAAAATGGAACCTCAAAACTTTAAGAATCATTTTCATGCTTCATTCAAAAATGCAACTCTAAAATTACTTTTTAAAAAATCCATTTCCTATTCAACACTGAAAAGAACATAACAAGGAGGCTGTCAATATTCTCTGCTGTGACCCTTTATTTAGATAACCTCGCGACTCAAACATTTGCTGAGGGAATGAAATGGCATTAGAACATATCTCCTTCACAATTTTGGCAACATTTCATACATGTTGCTAGTTCAATGCCAATTCAAACATCCCCCCTAGCAGTCATGCACTCCATTAGTTATCCATAAATGACAACAACTAATTGTACCTACTCACTATAGCAGGGTTTAACCTGAGAAACTCTAAAACTTTTGCTTAACTTTATTAACACTAAGCATTTGAATCATTTCATTATTTTAAATAAAGTTCTCCCTTGACCAGCAAGGGAATTGTCAGCAGAGTTTAAACCTCAGCAGCAGCTGGTAATGTTCTTAGCCAAGTTCTTGAGATATTGTCCATCTGCAGTGATATGTGGCTGGCTTCTGCCCTGGCATTTGCTTAATCTTCAGGACAGATTTCCTTGCTCTAGGAAAACTTAATTTCTGATTCCTCTAATTCAGATGCTGGCCAAAATGTTGTTTTCAATCTATACAGAGCAGTTTGTTTTCTGTTCCTTGCTAAGAGCTGGTTTCTTTGCTGATAATTTTTTCTATAACAGTCATATTAATATGCTCAAAAATCCACTGTTGAGTTTCAGATAAAGGATCACATCTATTCATGAAAATCTTCTTCTCTGCTGGATTGCAATCAATGCAGCTGCCGCTCACAGCATGGAATAAAGTTTTGTCCTGCGGGATGAAAATAATAATAAAAAAATTAATGAAGAACCAAGTGCCAGATGATTAAAAATGGACATATTTTCCAGAACATACTTTGAAACATCCAAGTCTGGTTTCTTTGAAATTTATGTAGCAATTCTACAATGTAATTTAATATTGGAAAATATTCTCTGAAATTATTTTCAATGAATTATATGTTGTTATTTATAGCAGAGTTTCTCAAACTTTACAACTCTTAAAATGTATGAACCTCAACTCACAGAATGGTATTCTGAGAGTTGAAGTTCACACATCTTAAAGGTTGCCAAGTTTAAGAAACATTGATCTAGAATGGAGTGGAAAGAATAGAATATGATAATAGAACAGAATAGAATAATTTTGTTTTTACATATGACTTTCAGCAGATGGCAGACCTTAGCTGATCTTAGCAGATGCAGAAAGGTAAAAGGATCCAGCTTAGTTAATGTCTGGGAAATTTAGGGCTGTACAGTAGATTGGGAAGAAACACGTCCCAGAAGAAGGTAAATGACAAACTACTTTTCTCTCTAATGCCAAGATAAATGCTTCTCCCCATCCCTTGTCTGTCTGTCTGTCTGTCTGTCTGTCTGTCTGTCTGTCTGTCTGTCTGTCTATCTATCTATCTATCTATCTATCTATCTATCTATCTATCTATCTATCTATCTATCTATCTATCTATCTATCTCTATCTCTGCATGCAGTGATCTAAACACAAGCAATGAATAAAATAAGAAAGACTGTCCAATATTTATAGAGACAATCTCCTTGCTTTCAAGGATTTTAATATCAAGCCAACACACTGAACCATTCTGCCATTTTTTTTTAGTCCTATCTTGTGGGAAATGGCTTGCCAAAAACACCATGGCACATCAATAGCTTAGTAGTGAAGCACTGCATTTACATGACAAAGGCCTCATGTCCAGTTATTGATGAACATAGTGACTGAATTCTGCATTCACTATAAGATTGCAGGGATTGCTATAGCATAAACCCTGTCTACAATGTTAAATCAAACTAGGAAACTCACAGACTGTATTTAGGTGACAATCCTGAAATCTCATGGGATTGGCAAAGTAATGCTGTAGATAACTTTCCTTTTGTTGCATGCTGTTACTAATCTGACTGATGTCATGGAGAACGGCTGCCAATCAATGTGGAAAATATGTAATAAGTAAATGAACAAACAAACAAACAGAGTTTGGCTTTTGTTAATGCCATTCCCAATTCCATATGAGATCCAACTGCTAAATTGTAAAATTGGAGCCAAATTGGTAACTGATATGATGAGTAAATATTTTAATGAGATATAGCCTTAAAGACATTGTACTCAAAAAGGAAATTATGCGTATTGTAGTGACATGGAGCAGCTCTCAGAGACAGATATTCATTTTCACACCCTACAATATAATCACAGTCAGTCCAGTTCCTTGTTTTAAGCATCCATATTCCTCCAAAGCCAACTCAAGATTTTCTAGTCCTAACTGCTGATTGCCAAAATGGTAAGGCAGCTTCATTTTGGAAAGCCAAATCTAACTTTGATTTGACTGTTTCTGTATAGCACTGTTTTTCGTTATAGCAGTTTTTATTTTCTTCGACAATGCATGCATTGCTATTATTTGATGCATTTCTTTTTTTTCTTTTCTGTTATTAATTGAAAGGAAGAAAAATAAATAAAAAAGAATTTACTGTATTAGTCCTTGACTTACAACCACTTGTTTATCAATCATTAAAAGTTACACTGGCACTGAAAAAAAAAGTAACTTAGGGCCAGAACTCACATTTATGACCATCACAGTACCCACATAGTCACCACTAGATTTCTGGTACATATCAAAGTTGATTATTTCCTATAAAATTGAATATGGCTCAAGTCCTTAGTTTTTATGATTTGTTCTCCAGAGAAAGGTAAAAGTAAAGGTTTCCCCTATCCAGTTGTATCTGACTCTAGCAGACAGTCCTCATCTCTGTTTCTTAGCTGAGGGAGCCAGCATTGTCCAAAGACATTTCTATGGTCATGTGCCCAGCATAACTATACGCCAAGGTGCACAGAACCCTATTACCTTCCCACTGAGTGGCACCTATTTATCTACTTCATGCTTTTGAATTCCTAGGTGGGCAGGAGCTGGGGCAAGCAGTGAGAGCTCACCTCATTTTGCAATGCTAGGTCGTGCTTTCTTAAAGCTAGCATCTTAACCACTGAGCCATCACAGTTTAACAATCTGATGTGAGAAAGAGCCTCTCTCTAATGGCATTTGAGAAGTAGCTGAAAATCCTTCTATGAGGATAATATAGTGGTGTAGGCTTTTACAGATTGTACCTGTTATACAGCATTGGGCTTCAGGTGATCATGGCCTAGAGGCCCTAGACAACAGATATCCTGATGTTTCACCAGCAACTGTTATTAGCATCTTTAGAGGCAAGATGGCCTATATTTAGGAAATCTATTGCCTAGACAGGGCTTTTCAACCTTTTCCCAGATTGTACCACTTTTAGGACATGACAATATTCGAGCACCACCAGTGCTTAGTAAGGTGTCAAAAACTTGATGATATAAAAAAGAGGGGGGGGGGATTTTGGGTTTTACTGATTAGATTGATTTGTTGTTACAGATAGGGATAGTTTATGCTACCATGTTTCCCTGAAAATAAGATTGAGTCTTTTTTTTTTTTGCCTCCAAAAGAGGCACCAGATCTTATTTTCGGGGGATATCTTACTCACCTCTGGCACCAACAGCCCGCCCAGCAGATCCTCTTCTTCTGGGGCCGAAGGAACAACTTTATTCTGCAGCTGCAGTCCAGCCTGCATTTCCTGCAGCCAAGTATCAAGCAATGGATTTAATCCATAGCTTGGTCTTCAGCTGCAGAGATCTATGGATTCAATCCACAGCTCGGTTCTCGGCTGCATAGGCCTTCTGCAAAGGCCTGTGATTGAGAAATGCAGGCCTGGCTGCAGAAGACACCACAGAAGAAGTGGGCTGGCAAGGAGAAGCCTGGCTGCAAGGTAAGTGGGTGTGGGGTGCATGGAGCAGTTCCACCCCCCACCCCCACCTAGCTTGATTTTTAGGTGTGTGCCTCACCCCAAAAACTAGGGCTTATTTTTGGGGTAGGGCTTATATTAGGCTCACCACCCCCCAAAATCAAGCTAGGGCTTATTTTGGGGGTAGATCTTACTTTCAGGGAAATACGGTATTATAAAAGTAAAAATGTGAGGTTCGATGTTAATGCTTCATTCTACTGCAACAGTGGAAGTCAGAAGTTTCTTTTTCTTTTCTTTTTCCCTTCACAATGATACATGCATATGGTGGGATATCTCCCAAGCGAAGAAATGTAGTCAGTAATAGTTTTTTTATTGGAGAGACAGTATTATTTATTACATAAAAACATAGCAGATGCCAGTATGGATAGAACTCAAGAAACCTCTAAATATAGAGCATTAATTTCAATTGGACTTAAGTATGATTAACTTTTCATAAAATGCCAACTAAGACATCTGTCACATATTTATCAATCTGTTTTTCTATAGTATGTTTCTAGGCATAGTATAAAGACTGCCTCGCTGGTTCATATTTATTACCATAATGAGGTGGGCAGGAAAGGTTCATCAAAATATATCTATATCTTAATAGGAATGCTGGATGCTGATAATAGTTAATAGATAATATTAAGCTTGGCTGTGTAATGTAACCTAAATAATAATGTAATAATGTAACCTAAATCCGTTCATATCCCAGGGTGGTAGCCCAAGCTATCCAGGAGGTAATAAACCTCTATCTAGCTCATCACATTCTAGTCCCTATAGAATCAAAATGGAACACCCCAATTCTGCCAATACCTAAGGGGGAAGGGAAGTTTCGGCCAGCCCAAGATTTGCGTGTTGTCAATGAGGCTACAGTCACTATCCACCCAGTGGTCCCAAATCCTTATGTCATTTTAGGGCTAATTCCCCCCACGGCCAAGTGGTTCTCAGTAATTGACCTAAAGGATGCCTTTTTCACAATACCTATACACAAGAGTGGGAGAACCCCATATCTGGAAGAAAACACCAATATGCTTGGACAAGGCTACCTCAAGGTTTTAAGAACTCCCCCACTCTCTTTGGAGCTGCATTAGGAAAGGACTTAGAGGACTTAGACATCCCCCACCCAGACGTGGTGCTGCAATATGTTGATGACCTATTAGTCACTGGTCAGACAGAAGAGGACTGTTGGCAGAATACTTATGAATTGCTTCAGCTCCTGCAAGACCGAGGCTACAAGGCATCCAGAAAGAAAGCCCAATTGGTAGCCACAAGAGTTAGATATCTGGGATATGACATAGAGGAGGGAAAGAGAACACTCGGACATGAAAGAAAAGGAGCCATCTGTCAGCTGCCTGTCCCAAAAAACAGAAAAGAGTTAAGAGGTTTTCTAGGGGCTGCTGGCTTTTGCAGAATATGGATCCCCAACTTTAGCCTGATAGCAAAACCCCTGTATGATGCAACCAAGGGAGGTGATAAAGAACCTTTGCAATGGGAGAAGCAGGAAGATAACAGCTTTACAGCTCTCAAAGAAGCTTTAATGTGTGCTCCGAGTCTAGGGCTACCGAATTTGGAAAAACCCTTTCAGTTGTTTGTAGATACAAAACAAAATGTGGCTGTAGGAGTTCTCACTCAGAAAATGGGGGCCTGGCATCGCCCTGTTGCTTATCTGTCTAAACAGCATGATAATGTAGCCAGAGGGTGGCCGGCTTGCCTCAAAGCAATTGCAGGAGTGGCGTTACTAACACAGGAAGCCAACAAATTGACTTTTGGGCAGAAGTTAGATATCTACACACCCCATGCTCTTAAAGCTGTTTTAGAAGCAAAAGGACGCTTGTGGCTGACCAACCCACGCATGTTAAAATATCAAGCCTTAATAACCCATAACCCAACAGTCACATTAATTCAATATAACTCACTGAATCCAGCCACGCTGCTGCCTGAACCAGACTTGGAAACCACACACAGCTGCATAC